CTGCAACTGGCTGTGAGATCTTATGGGAGCCACTCAGTGTGTCCAAGCCTGTTTCCTCCTGGTCACCCTGGGTGCTGACGACGGCAGTAGCTCCCACAGGGTGAAGCATGAACGAGGTAACACGCTCTAGTGCTTGCTGTGCTGTGCCATCCAGAGCTCGCCTTCACATGGAGCCATATGACAGCCACTGTCTGAGATACCCCCCAAATTGCCCTTGGTCAAAGGGAGACCCCGCCCAAGGTGACAGCCCATCCAGGGTGTTAGGTGGGAGGTGGAGCTTGCGCCCAGTGAATGGTTGATGTGGGAGTGTAAAGGCCTGCTTCCTGCTTGCCCCAGCTGGAGACAACTCTGAAGGATCATCCCAGTCCCAGAAGCCCTCCTCCCCTGTAGGAGCAGCTAAGGCCTTTGTCCTGACTGCACTGTAGTTCAATTTCCCCTTCTGGCCAGTCCAATTTCCTTCCCCATCCTACAGATGCAGATCCGGAGGGCACTCTCAGCAAACTTACTGCATCAAATCTCAGTCTCAGAGACTGTCCCCAAGGAGCCGAAGACATGTATGCAAAGTGCCTCGTGAATAGGAAGAACTCAGTAAAGGGAAGCTCCGTCATCAAGTCTAAGAGTTACCAATCACAGGAGGCCCATTATTTTATGTACTAAGAAAGCAAAGTACCCCAAAAGGGAAGTCTAATGATAGGTGACCCCCACACAGAGCCAAAACACCAACCAGAGTGTCCTCCCCGCAGAACAGGACAGCAAGGCTCAGCCACATGACTGGGTGAAGAATGGGGGAAAAACTGCCCTGATAATCTGCACTGAGCTCTCTGCAAGCAAAGAATTGAAGCTGAAGGAACCTCAGGTCAGGAGCACCCCTCTCATGCTGGCAGAAGCAAGCCCAAATCCTCTCTCGAAAAACTCAACATCTTTTCTCACCAACAGTGACGGCAAAACCTGTTCAAGTTGCAGAGATGTTAAAATAAGGAAAAGAGGTATTTATATTAGAATCAGTGATGTACAGCTGCGTTCTGTTCACAAAGACGGGAGCACGCCCGGGTGTCACTCAGCAGTGGTGGTGACTCCAATCATGGCCCGCTGTAGTTCACCGTAATCAAAGCTGCCCAGGGGAAATGAGCAGGTTTCCTGTGAACCTTGCAGCCGGCAGACCCAGACCAGAAGTCACTGAGATGAAAGCATAAGCCACTATGGGCAGAAATAACACATTCCAGTAAGCCTGATAATGGCAGGGAAGAGCTCAGAGTAGAGACTGCAGGGCCTGGGTCCCAGTCCATTTCTTCTACTAATTAATTAGCTCTTTGAACCAAGATAACCCACTTAACTTTCCTGAGGCTCGATTTTTCTCACGCCTTCCCATCAATGAGAGGGGGTAAAAAAGAAAAACTATCCTTCCTGCTCAAGTATTATATTAGATGAAACAGTACTTTGAAGAGTTAATAATTATTATTAAACATGTATTTATTGAATGCTTCCTACATGTTTTAGATCCCAGAGATACACCTTTTTACACATAAAACAAACCCCCTGCCCTTGTGGGGCTTACATTCTAGCAGATTCTAGTGTCGTGACTGTAAATTGTTCTTGCTTCTGCAGCAGACTTGCCATCCTCCTGGACCGCAGAGAAGGGTCATTTCCCCACGGGCAAGGCTTTGGACAGGGTATGAGAAGTGGAATATGGTAAGAGCCTACTTCCACACATACTGTTTAAAAACGTGTTAATCTGCGGCACGCTTGAGTTCTGGTAATGAGACATTTATTTGCTCGCAGGTCGTGCTGGGAAGGTGGGAATTTGGGGGAGGCGGGGGCGGCTGGAGACAGAGCACTCCTCTGATTGGCCACTGCCAGGCTCACGGTGTCCTTCCCCACTCCCGAGCGCCCCTCGGTGGTCCGGTCCCCTTGGATCACGCACCATCCACCGGGACCCTGGACGGGAGCACAGCAAGGGATGGCTTTCAGATGACTGCGACGGCGAAGCAGTGAAGTGCGGACAACTTTGTGTTGGGATCGCTTAGATGTAGCGGCTGTGCCGCCCTGGACATGCTCCTGGAGCTCTAAGTCCGGTTCCTCATCTGTACCGGGAATGTACTGGGAATGGCGGTAGCTCCTACCTCCCACGGGGTTGTGGGGCTGAAGTGACATAATGCGTGTCAGGTGCACCGGACTCGGAGGGTACAAGTGTCCAGAAAATGACAGCGGTTATCAGTGCCGTCATTGTTGCCGTCGTTGCTACGGTGACCAGCCGCCACGTCCCGTCTAGATGTAGGTCTGTGACGTTCCTGACATAGTTTCTGGAATGTTCCCATGGCTAGAGAATTTTCGGGGAATTGAAGAGTTCATTGCAGCTTCCTGATTAACACCTGCATGCCCCTCTAAGGGATGCTAAATCTGGGGGCCTGTCTGTCCTGCCTGCTGAGAGGGCGTCAGCTGCTGTCCGCTCACCTGTGCCCCCGTCCCTCCATCCATTCCCTCAGGCACCCGGCTGATAGCTGGTGCTGCTCAACCCCCACAGGCCCTACACCGACAATGAGACAGATAAGACAGGTAAGGAAGGATGAGAATGGGCGGGGGGAGGGGGGGGCGGTTGGGAGCAGCTATTCCCTTCATCAGAGAGTCCAACTCACCAGCTTTTCCTACTTCGGAAAGCCCCATGCTCTGAAATCTAGACTTGCTTCTTCATTTTGCCTTTGAATGTGCTTCCATTTAAAAGAAGCCCAGCCTGGAGCCAGGAAAATGTGGCACACTGCCCCTTTCAGGGTCGCATATTACTCAGAAAACTCTGACTTCCTAGAATTTTTTGAAAATTCCAAATCTTGATTCTAACCTTGTCAAACAAAGCCACATTTATAAATAATCTTTTTTTAAAAAATAGACTTTATTTTTTATTTATTTATTTTTTTAAAGATTTTATTTATTCATTTGAGACACAGAGAGAGAGAGAGAGCACAAGCAGAGAAAGAAGCAGAGGGAGAGGGAGAAGCAGGTTCCCCACTGAGCCAGGAGCCTGATGTGGGGCCCGATCCCAGGACCGTGGGATCGTGACCTGAGCCGAAGGCAGACGCTTAACCATCTGAGCCACCCAGGCACCCTAGACTTTATTTTTTAGAACACTTTCGGCTCACAGCTAAACTGAGCGAAGGTACAGAGCTCCCGACCCCATGTGCACAGCCTCCCCGACTGTTGGCCGCCCTCCCTAATCATCGTCTTCAATGATCACCTCTCATAAAATGAACTCTCCAAAGGTACAGAACCTTTTTTTCATGTATCTCATGGAATAACTTGCCCTGTGTATATAGTCACACTCTAACTTGGCAAAAAATTATGGGAAATGTATCTATTCTTGATAAAACCATAATTCAACAAAGCTATCAATTTTGCCTCCTTTGCTCCAAATTCTACTTTTTCTCCAAAGAAATCAAACTCTTTAAAACTGTAGCGATATTTTTGGGGAGGTGGGGTTGCTGTTATTTGTTTTTCAAGTGGGTTGTCCACATAGATCTTCTGTAACAGGGAGAAAATTCTTTCATCTCTTCAGGACTCAGCATCCATCTCATATTCGATCCCTTTCCCTTTGTGGTCTGAGTTCTTTTCTTTCTGCTTCTTTGGGGTTATTATCAGAACCACTAGGTTTGACACTTCATCTCAAAACCCATGACCCACAGGGATATGCCCACAAATACTCTGCATACGGAATAAACTTTTCTGTATGCAGTCTATGTATTCACCTTTACCATCAACCTTCTGGTACTTCTCAAGTGTTGTTTTTTATTCTCCCACTGATCGCCCTAAAGTCTGTTTCTTGCAAATTCCCAGGACTGGGCTGGACACACTATGTGTATTCCAGTTGAAGTACAGTTGCTGCAAGCTGCCTTACACAGGGAAGAATCCAGAGTCCTTCCAGATGGACAAAAGTAAGATGGGAAGGCCCACGCTCACTTGTTATGAAGAAAGCCTCAGTTTTAAATTCCTTCTTCCAAGGAAGCTGGACTTGCTTCCCTCATTCCCATGGCATGGCTGAGCATTAGTGCTCACCAGCCCGGGGCATGGGGTTACAACTACCAACCCCAGGTGTGATATAACATGTTTAATTGAACTATACCTGACTCCTAATCATTCATTGCCTTAAGTTTTTTTTCCAGACTATCTTGACTCCCTACATAGACTGGGAGTTCCTGGAGGGGAAAAGCCATCATATTCTTTCTTTTTTCATTACTGAGTATTTTAATACAATAAAACTCACCAATGTTAGGTGTACGATTTAGTAAGTTTTAACAAATGTATTCAGTCTTACAACCAACACAATAGTGATATAGAACATTTCCATCATTCTAAAACGCTTCTTTGTGCTAATTTACAGCCCCCTCTCCCCACCCCCAACCCCTACCAACCACGGATTTGTCACTAGGTTTTACATCTTCTAGAATTGTACGTTAAGTGGAATCCTACAGTATACACTCTTTTACGTGTGGCTTCTTAACAAGATTTTGGGATTCGTCCATTGTTCACTCCTTTTTATGGCTGAATGGTATTCCACTGAATGGATAGATACTTTGTCTATCCATTCACCAGCTGATGGACATTTCAGTTGTCCCCGCTTTGGAGCTACTGTGAATAAAGCCGCTTGAATATTTGTGGACAGGTCAGAGTGTGGACATGTTTCCTTTTACCTTTGGCAACACAGAGGCAATCTAGGAACAGTCTAGGAGAAAGACTGCTGGACTGTATGATATATTTAACTTTAAAAAAGAAAAACTCACGCTCTGGAAGTTTTCTAAAGTGATTGTACAATCATACAATCCTGCCAGCAATAAACAAGAATTCTGGTTGTTCTGCATTCTCACCGACACTTGGTAGTATCAGTCTTTTAATTTCAGCTGTTCTGGGGTGTGTGGTTTCACTTCATTGTGGTTTTTAGTTTGCATTTCCCTTAGTAATGCTGTTGAGTATCTTTCCATGTGCTTATTTACCATCCATATATCTTCCTTTGTCGAGTGTCTACTGAAATCTTTTGTCCATACTTGGGAGGTTGTTTTAAGAGTTCTTTATGTATTCTAGATATGACCTTTGTCTGCTAATATGCTTTGTGAATACTTACTCCCATTCTATGGTTTGCCTTAACAGTGTCTTTGAAAGAGCAAAAGTTCAATTTGATGAAATCCAACCCAGTGCACTGGTTCTCTTTTGTGTGTCCTATTTAAGAAATCTTTGCCTAACCCAAGGTCACAAACAACTTCTGCTATGTTCTCTTCTAGAAATTTTATACTTTAGCTTTTACATGTAAGTTTACGATTAACTTCAGGTTGATGTTGGTATATGATGTGAGGTAAAACTTGAGTTTCCTTGTATTTCCTATGGATATCATGCTGTTCCAGCATATTCTGTTGAAAGTACTATCCTTTCCTCATTGAATTACCTCAGCAGCTTGTCAAAAATCAACTGATCACACATCTGTGCATCTATTTCTGGATTTGCTCTTCTGTTCTACTCATCTACATGTCTATCCTTATGCCAATACCACTCTGTCTTGGTTACTATAGCTTCATAATAAATCTTGAAATCAGGTAGTATAAGTCTTCCAACTTTGTTCTTTTTCCTCCTAAAATGTTCTGGTTCCTTCAAGTCCACTGCATTTCCACATAATTTTTAAATCAGTCTGCCAATGAAAGAATGGAAGTAAGGAAGGAAGCAAGGGGGTAGGGAAAGAAGGAGGGAAGGAAGAAAGGAAGGAAGGGAGGGAGGGAGGGAGGAAGAAAAGGAAGGAGGGAGGGAGGGAGGGAGGGAAAGGTAAGGTACAAAGAAACAAAGAAAGTAGGCCAGCCAGTCTGACAGGCTACAACATGGATGAACCTTCAGGACATTATGCTAAGTGCAATAAGCCAAACACAAAAGGACAAATATTATATGATTCCACTTAAACAAGGTTCCTAGAGTAGCCAAATTCATAAAAACAGAAAGTGAAATGGTGGTTGCCAGGGGCTGGGGGAGGGGAAATGGGGAGTTGTTTAATGGGTACAAGAATTTCGGTTTGGGGAGATGAAAAAGTTCTAGAGACAGATGGTGGTGATGGTTGCACAGCAATGTGAATGTACTTAATGCCACTAACCTGTACATTTAAAAATGGTTAAAATGGTAAATGTTATGTATATTTTATAATAAGAAATATATTATGCCTTTTTTAAAAGGGGCCTCCTGGGAATTTATTGCAATTGCATAGACTCTGTTGTTCAATCTAATGAGAATTGGTTCCTTAAAAACAGAATGTTCTGATTGGGGGGCATGACATATCTCCTATTAAAATCTTCTCTCAGCAAGATTTATTATAGTGTTCAGTGTGCAGGTCTTGCACATGTTTTGTTCAACTTACCCCTAATGTATTTTATGCTTTTTGATGCTATTTCCAATTTTCATTACTAGCATATAAAAATTATAAGATTTCTGCATATTGACTATATAGCTTTGCTAAATTTATTAGTTCTAGTTGTTTTTTTGTAAATTCCTTAGGATTTTCTAGCTAGATGATTGTCATCTGTGAATAAAGACAGTATTACTTCCCCCTTTCCAATCTGTACATTTTCTTTCTTTTTATTGCATTATTGCGCCTGTGAGGACCTTGGTACAATGTTGAACAGAAGTGGCAGAGCAGACATCTTTGCCTTGCTCCCAATCAGAAGAAATTATTCATTCTTTCACCATTAAGTACGAGCTTAGCTCCAGGTTTTTTGTAGATGTCCCTTACCAGGTTGAGGAGGTTTCCCTCCATTTCTAGTTTGCTGAGACTGTTTTGTTTTTTAAACCACAAATAGGTATTGAATTTTATCGTATGCTTTTCCTGCATCTGTGGAGGATCATAGGATTTTTCTTCCTTTGTCAATATGGTGAATTACCTTGATGTTCAATGTTGTATCATCCTTAAATTCCTGGAATAAAACTTACTTGGATCATAAGGTGGATTTTGTTTTTAATGGATTTGTTTGCAAAACATTGCCAAATTTTTGTTAAGGTGTCTATGTTCATGAGCTCTGTTGGTTGAAAAGTTTACTTACAATATCTTTGGTTTTGGTATCAAGAGGATGGCTGGGAGTTTCCTTCCTCTTCTATTATCTGGGTTTGTAAAGAATTGGTATTATTCCTCCCTAGACATTTGGTAGAATTTACCAGTGAAGCCATTTGGGGCTGGTTTTCTTTGTGGGAAAGTTTCTAACTGAATTCAATATATTTATTGGATATGAATATTTCAAATTGTTTCTTCTTGAGTAGGTCTAGGTAATTTGTGTATTTCGAGGAATTTATCCACTTCATCTAAGTTGTTGGATTTATTGGCATAATATTATAACACTCCCTTTTTATCATTTTAAAGTCCGTAGAATCTATAGCAACTTTTCCATGTTCACTTTTTTTTTATGTCCACTCTATCAAGAGTGAAAATAAACAATCAATAATTTGTGTCTCCTTTTTTTTTTTCTCTTTTCTTTTTCCTTTTTCCTCCTGGCTGGAGTCTGGTTAGATCCATCTGCCTAGAGGCTTGTCAATTTTATTCATCATTTTCAATTTTTTTTTAAGATTTATTTATTTGAGAGAGAGTACGGGGGGAAGGGGCAGAGAGAGAACGAGAGAGAGACTTTAGCAGACTTTCACGGTGAGCGCGGAGCGTGATGCAGGGCTCTATCCCAGGACCATGAAATCATGACCTGCGTCAAAACCAAGAGTCATACGCTTAACTGATTGTCCTGCCCAGATGCCTCTCGATATTTTTTTAAAATCTGCTTTTGGTTCTATTTACCTTCTCTATTTTTCAGTTTTCTATTTCATTGATTTCTGTTATTTCCTTCCTTCTGCTTAATTTGATCTTTATACTGTTTCAGGGTGGGAGTTTAGATCATTAATGTAACACTTTCATCTTTTCTTAGTCAAGCATTTAATATCCTAAATGTCCTTCTAGACACTGCATTAGCTACATCCCACAAATTTTGATATGCTGTGTTTTTGTTCTGATTCAGTTTAAAATACTTCCTAATTCGCCTTATAGTTTGGCCCATGAATTATTTAGAAGTAGGTTGTTTAATTTCTAAATATTTGAGGATTCTTCAGGTATCTTTTATTGATTTCTAGTTTAATTCTGTTGTGGTCAGAGTAATACTTTGTGTGATTTCAATCCTTTCCAATGCATTGAGAGTTGTTTTATGGCCCAGAATATGATCTTGGTCACTATCACAAGTGTGTATGAAAAGAATATTCTGGGGGCGCCTGGGTGGCTCAGACGTTAAGCGTCTGCCTTCGGCTCAGGTCATGATCCCAGAGTCCTGGGATCGAGCCCCGCATCGGGCTCCCTGCTCCGTGGGAAGCCTGCTTCTCCCTCTGCTGCTCCCCCTGCTTGTGTTCCCTCTCTCGCTGTGTCTCTGTCAAATGAATAAATAAAATCTTAAAAAAAAAAAAAGAAAGAAAAGAATATTCTGCTGGTTGTCCAGGTGGAGTGTTCTATAAATGTCAGTTATGCAACTCTCCTATCTCTTTCCTGAAGTGCTGTCTGCTCCTGCTATGAGTTGCTAAGGGACAAGTGTTGAAATCTCCACTGTAATTGTGAACTTGCCTGGTTCTCCCTTCAGTCCTATCTTTGTTGTAGGTTATTTTGAACCTCTCTTATGAGGTGCACATATATTTAGGATTGTTATGTCCTCTTGATGAACTGAATTCTTTGACATTTTGAAATGTTCCTCTTTATCTCCAGTAACATTCACTGTTCTGAAGTCTACTTTGATTGTAAAATAGCTTTCTTTTGTTTAGTGTTAGCATGACACATTTTCCCTATCTTTTTATTTTTAACCTATTTGTGTACCCTTATATTTAAAATGGGTTTCTTATAGACAACATACACCTAGGTCTTGCCTTTTTATCCAATTTGACCACCTCTGCCTTTCGAGTGCCTAGAACATTTACATTTAATGTTTAATAAGGTCAATATGGGTGGGTTTAACTCTACCTTCTTGCTATTTGTTTATCTTGTCTGTTCTTTCCTTCTCTTTTTCCTCCAATCTTCTTCTTTTGGATTGTTTTTAATGATTGTTTCCTCTCTACTATGGCTTCTTAGCTAGTCCTGTTTTATTTATGTAGTGGCTTCTCTAGGGTTTATTATATATATTCACTTACCATAATCTGTATTCAAATATACACATATAGTGCGAGACCCTTACAATATACTTCTGATTCCTCCTTCCACACTTGTACTACTGTAGTCTACAGGAAGCTGTGGCTGATTCAAGTGTGTGTAACCATGTCCACATGATCAGTATTCTCAAAACATAGCAACCTGCACAGAGCCCACTATACAGGGCAAAATGAGAAATGGAGTAATACATCCCATGTTAACAATGGTATCACTGTTTGGGGGAGAGGCTGACAGCATAGTCACCAATTAATCAGAACAGCCACCAACCAGCCTTAGCTCTGGAGCAGGGTACTCCGGGGCCTCCAACTGTGCTAGACATCAGCCCTTTATTTGCTGGATCAGGGTGGTACCTAGGAGATGGTCAAGAATTTCCATGACAAGGAAGGGGAGATGGGAGGTGGGACTTGGGACAGCAAGTTATTTACCAAGCAGCGTAGAGGTGTTTCAGTATTTTTATGCTGGTCAGCCATTCATATGCCCTGGAGGTAGGTCATGTGAAGCACTTCCCTAAATACGCAGAATTCTCTGAGGGCATGAGACAGGTATCCAGGTTGGCCCCTAATCAAAGCCAAACACAGGAGCAGGGCAGAAAGAAAATATTCACAAGTGTGCTACAAAAACTCACGGCAGGTATTTACACTTGCCATTGATCAGACACTAGGTGACGCAAGACACATTCATTATCTCTAAGCCTCAGCACGACCTGGAGCGCACACTGTTATTCTCAATCTACGGATGAGGACTAGGAGGCGTGGGAAGATCGGTCTGCCCCGGGTCACAGTGAAGAGGCAGACCGTCTTGTATCCATCTCACTCGTCTTGTATCCATCTCACTCGTCCCGGCGCCCCCTTTGACCAAGGCTACTCCTTCCATTATGTGAAGAATGTGTTACTTACAAGTGTTTCACTTGTATTAAACAGTGTTAGCAATAGCAAACAAAGCCCAGGCCCATGCTTCATCTCTCTGGATTCCTGAAAGCTCCCCGTAATTAGCTTTCTCATTCTAGAAGAGGAATCGTGGCTTGGAGTTGGAGGCACAACACGGGTTAGCAAAGTTCCATGATTATGGGAAAGTAGCTTCGTAAACACAGTGCTCAAGCAACCCAACCCCAAATCCCTTAATTGGTGCCACAAGGTATGATCCTCAGAAGGCAGGACTCTCTGAAGCCTGCAATCTTCCTTAATTTAACATTGTCCAGATGCTGTGTATAGCAACTTTTTATTCTTTTTTTTTTTTTTTTAAGATTTATTTATTCATTTGACAAAGAAAGACACAGAGAGAGCACAAGCAAATGGAGAGGCAGAGGGGGAGGGAGAAGCAGGCTTCCCAGTGAGCTGGGAGCCTGACGCGGGGCTGGATCCCAGGACCTGGAGATCATGACCTGAGCGGAAGGCAACCGCTTAACCATCTGAGCCACCCGGGCACCTAGCAACTTTTTAAACTGGAAGGGCCTCCTGCCTTTTATTACTAAACCAAAGGACTGAAAGTAAGCTTGGAAGTTTAGATTCTATTTTATGGCGGCATCCTTTCTCTTAGGTGACCATACTGAGTTTTTGGATGGGAAACTGACTCAACTTGCTCAGTGAACTTCAGCATAAGCACTGTTCTCCTATGGCAGATTAAAAAACCACACCCACACCCTCTTCAAACGTAGGAGATGGGAGGCAGGAGGACAGAGCAGGTCTGAATTTTTCCTCAGCTGCTTCCAACTTCCTTATGTTGGCTAAGATTCCTCCAAGAATCTGGTATTTAACTGTCAAGCATTCTTGGGGCACCTGGCTGGCTCAGTCGGGTAAGTGTCTGCCTTCGGCTCGGGTCATGATCCCAGGGTCCTGGGATAGAGCCCCGCATCAGGCTCCCTGCTCGGCGGGGAGCCTGCTTCTCCCTCTGCTGCTCCCCCTGCTTCTGCTCTCACTCTCTCTCTCTCTGACAAATAAATAAAATCTTTAAAAAAACATGGGCGCCTGGGTGGCTCAGTTGGTTAAGTGACTGCCTTCGGCTCAGGTCATGATCCTGGAGTCCCGGGATCGAGTCCCGCATCGGGCTCCCTGCTCGGCAGGGAGTCTGCTTCTCCCTCTGACCCTCCTCCCTCTCATGCTCTCTGTCTCTCATTCTCTCTGTCTCAAATAAATAAATAAAATCTTTAAAAAAAAAAAAATCTTTAAAAAAACAAAACTGTCAAGCATTCTTAATTTTAGGAGGTACTGTGAGATTTTGATTTTTATGTCTTCATGTGAAATGTAAAGTTGATCACTGCAATGAACTTTGGTACATAATTAATAGGTATCAAGATACAAAGCAAGTTTATGAATCAGTTTGAATTTAACAAAATGGTGGATGATAAAATGTTCATTTTTTCAGATTTTATGAGGGAGTTCAGAGAACTTGGTGGATATGCAGAGACTGTTATGAAATGGCAGACACTACCATGATATAAGTCCATTCAATTGTCCACAGTTAATAAAAGTTTGTATAGGGATGCCTGGCTGGCTCAGTCGGTGGAACGTGCAACACTTGATCTCAGGGTTGTGAGTATGAGCCCCACGATGGGTGTAGAGATTACTTAAGAAAAATAATAAAATCTTTAAAAAAGTAAAAAAAGAGTCTGTATACTGGTTAAGAGCAGGGGCTCTAATTACAATCTTTGTTGCATTGCTCGTATGACGTTGGGAAAATAATTTAAGCATTTCTATGCCTAAATTTTCTTATCCACAAACATTTATCACCTATATCATTCAAGGAATCATACTAAGCACTTTGGGGATTCAAAGATAATCACACATATTTTACTTTCAAAAAATTTTAAAACCTAGTTGTGGAGACATAAGCAATACGTAAGTATACTGAAAGAGCATGAACCCTGGGGCAAGTCTGCCTAGACTGGGCCTCCAGCTCCACTACTCTCTTTGAGAACTAGAGCAGGTTATTTAGTTCCTTGAAGCTCAGTTTCTTCATTTCTAAAATGGTGAAAATACTAGTCTTTACACCTCAGAGTGTTTCCTAAGAACTAAATATGTTTAATACAAAGAGCTCATCAAAACCATAAAGAGATATCACTTCACACCCATTAGAATGGCTATTACCAAAAACACACACAAAAAACAGCAGAAAATACCAAATGTTGCCGAAGACAGAGAAGAGAGAAAACTGGATCCCTGCTGCATTGCTGCTGGGAATGTAAAATGTACAGACCCGTGGAAAACAGTATGGAGGTTTCTCAAAAAATGAAACCTAGAGTTAACTTATGACCAAGTGATTCCAATTCTAGGTATATATCCACAAGAAGTGGAAACAGGGACTCAAACAGATTTCTGTACAGCCATGTTCACAGTAGTGTTATTCACAATAGCAAAAGTTGTATATGCCCAACAGATGAATGGACGAACAAATATGGAATATACACACAGCCTTAAAAGATGAATTTTTGATACATGCTACAGCATGGATGAATCTTGAAAACACTAAGTAAAATAAGCCAGACACACAATACACACACACAAATATTCTATGATTGCACTTATATGAGGTCCCTAGAATAGTCAAATTCATAGAGACAGAAAGTGGAGTGGTGGTTACCAAGGGCTGGGGGAAGGGGTAAATGAAGAGCTGCTGTATAATGGGTAGAGAGAGATTCAGTTTGGGATGATGAAAACGTTCTGGAAAGGTATAGTGGTGATGGTTGTACAACAGTGTGATTATTAATGCCACTGAACTATACACTCAAAAACAGCTAACTGGTAAATCTTGTTATGTATACTTTATACATATATTTAAAAAAAGCTCAGCCTGCTACACAGTAAGTGCTCAATAAACATTAACTATCCTTAGTGCTTTTAAAAGAGTTCAGCAGAGAAAATTGTTTATGGCCAGTACATCATAAATGTAGGCAAGAAGGTACCATCTGAGATAGGACTTAATAATGGGTAAGACAGATAGCAGTTATAGTACTTATTAATATCAGTATTTTATGAATCAAAAAATTAGATGTTAAGTGACAGGGGCTTGCAAATGCTTTTGCCAAAATTTAAAACGATAAATTGACAACTATTGTGCTAGGCATGGGGGTTATATTGATAAAGATATAAAACCTTCTCTCAAAGAGCTCATAATCCAGTGAAGGAGTCTGAAACACAAATAGATAAGCATGGAAAATTAGTATGTGCAAGGATCAAACAAAGCCTCTTATCTAAATCTAAATTTTATTGGACAGTTTGCAGTAGTTGGTCTTAACACTTAAAAATCTATAAAGAACTCTGGTTACATTTTACATCTCATCCTTGCGCAGGGGCCATGCTAATCTTCTCTGTACCCTTCCTAGTTCTAGTACATGTACTGTTGAAGCAAGCACTCTGGTTAGAAGATCTCCTTTTTCCATCTATCCTATTTTTCCTTAGGCCCACCAACCCACTTCTTTCTCTCTTCTACTAAAAATCGAAGTATGCCTTTCAATCTCACTCTTTAGTTTCTTCCACTTGGCAAAATCATTGAAATCACATTGAAAAACAAAATAATAAATTAAGTTACAACATATAGAATTGTAACTTAATTTATTATTTTGTTTTTCAATGTGATTAGTTCAAATGGTTTTGACCTACAAAAGCAGCAATTACACATGGTTCACCATTATGGTAACGCCAAAGTCCTTAAGATTTTTAAATCTGAATTTTATGTATTTAGAAATTAAGTACAACAGCAGTAATAAGACTTCATATTGGCAAGTGAACAGTTGATTTCCAACTTATAAATCTGAGACCTGTTTTTTATACCTAAAGCCTAATAGTCAATCTGATCTAAATCCAGTCAACCTTTCTGTCACGGTCAGTTACTTACTGAAATAATTAAAGTTTCATTTCTACTTGGAACCCACCTTTTAATCTTTACCCTGAGTTTCTAAGATTCAAGATATTGCTATTAGACAGGAGATGATTAACATTTACTGGCCAAGTTTCACCTGAGGGACCTATCATACAACAGAATATAATACAAACAAAAAGGAAGAGAGACAATTGACACACAAAACATGGAATTCTAAAAAAGATACATCTAATCAACAGCAACAAAAACCAGATCTGTGGTTGCCTAGAGAAACCGGTAAAAAGGGCATATGAGAATTTTTGGGGGTGATAGAAATGTTCTCTATCTTGATCAAGGTGATGACTTCATTGGCTGGGGTGTAAGTCTGTTAAAATTAAATGATATGTATACTTAATATGGGTGCATTTTTTTTTATAAAAACAGTACCTCAATAAAGATGATTTACATAAAAGAAAATGACAGTATACTTTTAATTTTAATTAAAATCTATTTTTAATTAACAAGTGAAAGATGAATACCTTTAAAAAATTAATGTATTGTAGATAACACGAAAGTTTTCTTCGACCACCCTCTCAATCCTGGTTTTCATTCCTCATCTCTCCCATCTATACCTCCTCCCCCAAATAATTACTGTTACGGGTTTGGTATGGGTCCTTCTGAACCTTTAAAAATATATTTACATACATATATGGTCACAGAAAATGTACAGTATTATATTGTACATAAATATAACTTGTATAGATCTTTCTGCAGTTTGCTATTTTCACTTAGCATTATGTTTCTGAGATCTATCCATGTTAATAAAAAGTTTACTTCTTTTAAATCCAATACAATAATCTATTACATGACTATACCATATTTTATTTAAGCAGGCCATTCCCCTTCTGACAGATATTTAGGTTGTTTTTCCCTATTACATTTCACTAGTGTAGTGGTAAGTCAGTAGTTACTGAGGTGGCCACAGGGATTACAGGTTGTGTTCCAAGGGGATGTTAACCTGAGCAGTAAGGTTTAACTTTTTAAAATGAGAATGTATTCATTTATTATTTATATAGTTTAAGTACTGACTTTAATTAAAGAATTTTCTGATACATAAATTATCACAAAGAATGAAACAAAATCTGTAATAGGAAGCAATCATCTATTAAAATACAAGTAAAACAAACTTATAGGACATAAAAGTGTACTCATGGTTTGAAACATAAATACTGAAAATTAATGACCTGAGCACTAAACAAGTCATACAAACATTCTCCTACTCAAAACAATTGTAATTAAAATGTTGTCATACTGGTTATCATGGCATAAGTGTAATTAATACATGCACAAATACCTCATTTATATTTTTTGCTTTCTCCTTTTATGACTATGATGTCTTTCCCCATCCCTGAAATGACAGAAGTGAAAAAAAAAGAACCATTACAAATGATGGACATTTTAATATCAGAACTTTAAAATAGTAATTCACCAGTAATGTACTTCAGAACAAGTTAAAACATGCATTCAGAACTGTTTCCATATATTTTTTTTTTTAAGATTTTATTTATTTATTTGACAGAGAGAGACAGTGAGAGAGGGAACACAAGCAGGGGGGGTGGGAGAGGGAGAAGCAGGCTTCCCACAGAGCAGGGAGCCCGATGTGGGACTCGATCCCAGGACCGTGGCATCATGACCTGAGCCAAAGGCAGATGCTTAGCGACTGAGCCACCCAGGCGCCCCTCAGTACTTTTTTTTAATTAAGTAAGCTCTACACTCAATGTGAAGCTTGAAATCATGACCCCGAGATCAAGAGTCACATGCTCTACCAACTAAGACAGCCAGAAGCCCCAAATAGTAATTTTTTTAAGAGTAAATATGGAAAATGAATCATTAAAACTAAAGGACAAAATGGGGGATAAGCAAAATGAGATTTTTTTTTTTTTAATTGCATTTTGGAGTTTTGCTTTAAAATTAACTTCGACGGGGGAAATCGGAGGGGTAGATGAACCACGAGAGACGATGGACTCTGAAAAACAAACTGAGGGTTCTAGAGGGGAGGGGGGTGGGAGGATGGGTTAGCCTGGTGGTGGGTATTGAGGAGGGCACGTTCTGCATGGAGCACTGGGTGTTATACGCAAACAATGAATCATGGAACGCTACATCTAAAACTAATGATGTAATGTATGGGGATTAACATAAGAATAAAAAAAATAATAAATAAAAAAAAATAAAATTAACTTCGAATATATATACATGAGGACCAGAGAATTCATTCCAAATAAAATATTAAAGTCACAGACAGAATTCAGAAATTGTCTGATATCCTTATGCTGGTTCCTATCAACTCCATACAATTCATTCCACCTCAGGCGTGGATATCAAAGATCAGCCCTGCACTTTTGAGAAGTATTTCCTACTAATACTATTTAAACTCTAAATATATCCTCTTTAAAGGCAAATTATTTCATGTTTACATTTGAGGCTGTCTAACGTCTTTAAGTCAATAAAAATTGATCAGAGATGCCAAAAATTACTCAAATGGAAGAAGCATTAACAAACCAGAAAGAAGTAAAAGCACAATAATTCTGATAATTAAGTTAATTTGTGTATAATTATTACAAAATATCATTCATTATATGAATCAAAAGGGATTACAAAGCAAATACTTCATTTTTATAAGAGGACTAAATCATAGCTAGCTTTAAACCTACGAACTAAATGACAGTAAGATGAGCAAAATTAAAAAGCATTACTAATTCCTGATCACCAGTGGCCCGGAGAGGGACAAGATATCATTTGAGAAGCTGTTACTAGACAAATACTGTGCGTATACTACTAAATCAGACATGGACTTGCCTTCAAGGAGCTCAGTCTAGGAGGGAGAGTAATAACTTAAGTTCAATAAAATATACATGGTGGGCGGAGTGCTGACAAAATCGGAAAGGTCAGATCTGCCTCAATGAGTGAAAAGAGGTTTCATGGAAATGACTAAGCTGGGTCTTAAAAGACCAAGCAGGCTTTAAAAAAATAAAAATTAGGCAGCAGAACCTGACACAGAAAGGCATAAATGTGGCCCAGGATAGATGAGGAACTGTAAGTAATTAGGCTAGCTAAAGCATAGTTCAGTATTTCATGGGGTAGTGGCAAAATACAAGGATGGGGAGCCAAGAGCCCTGATCCTGGAGGTCTTGGGAGCCATTCTCAACAATGTGGATTTTGCCCCTGAAGAATTTTAAGAGTGAAAATTCACTCAGGCAGTAAAGTAGGGATGACTCCATATGGGACAAGCTTACAGGTGGTTAGAACAATTAGGAAAACTATCATTTCCCAGGTGGACAGCAGTAAGGATAGAGACGAGGAGGTGCATGTAAAGGTATCTTCAGGTACAACTGATAGCAATTAGGAACTAACCAGAGGGTAGGAATAAAAAAGAAGCAACTAAAATAACTCCATGATTTCTGGCTTAGGTGGACAGATGATGGTCATCCCATTAACCAGAATAGGAATGCTGGGGAAAGAGGGTCAGTATGAAAAAGAGATAGTTCAGTTAGAGACCTAACACTGAGATCCAGGTAGATGCCCCATAAGCAGCTGGACTACTGGAATAGATCACAATTGATTTAAATTTATTATTTTAGTATTAGTTCGTATCTTTCCTGCTGTCAAAATTCTTTTTTTTTTTTAAAGATTTTATTTATTTATTTGACAGAGAGAGACACAGCAAGAGAGGGAACACAAGCAGGGGGAGTGGGAGAGGGAGAAGCAGGCTTCCCACGGAGCAGGGAGCCCGATGAGGGGCTTGATCCTAGGGTCATGACCTGAGCCGAAGGCAGACGCCTAACGACTGAGTCACCCAGGTGCCCCTCCAGCTGTCAAAATTCTATCAGCGATGTTAACAAGGGCAAAACTGACTTGACATTAAACTTTGGATGTCTCTCTGACCCTACAGACTCTTTAACTCAGGAATTAGCAGGAGAAAGAAATGACAAGAAAAAGGAGGGAGGAAGGAGCAGAAAAAAGAGATGTAGGCAAACACCTTGCTAACAGAGTTAACTTCCTACCTAGACATTACTTCCCTATGTCCTGGCTAGGAAACAAGGAGTAAAAGAGGGAAACCCACATCGAATCAGGCATATAGAGAACTATGCCACCAGAGCTATGGTTACTTGAACTGAAATCAAATGATAAGAATTCTCATCAAAAACTTACTCTCCTTACTGTAATTTACTCTTACAATCCATTTTCTCAACATTGTCTACAACAGAAGAATCTATTTACTTTTCAAGAGTAAACAATTCAACATCAGATGATGCAGTGTTAGACTTACCTGTCTTTCCTTCTTCTCGAATCCCAGTTTTTATCCTTATCTTTATTTCTTTTTCGTTTATGTGGGCTCCTACTCCGATCCTTTCTACGTCGTGAATACTCAGCATCCAAATAACTTCCACCAGACTGCCGTGAATCTACTGAAGCTGATCGCCTTTCTTCATTCCTGAAATAGGAATGGAGAATAGGAATGGAGGAATAGGAATACAGAACAGTTAGTTTTAACCACGAGTCTCCACCAAACACACAGACAAACTAGCTTAAAGTTGAATATTCTATATCAGAACAATGATAGAGTTGATATAAATAGGTATAAACTTATATTCTATATGAGAGGGCAAAGAAATATAGCTCTTACATGTTTTACCTCTTTACTATTTCACTAATATATTTGTCTCTCCAAAATTGTCAAAGAGCAATGTCAACAGAAAAACTCTGCTATAATAATCTTGAGCAATGACAACATAGAACAACTTAAGCATTTTAATGAATTATGGTGTGCTATTATTAATGGTCTTGGAAACGCTAAAATTTAGTTAAATAATAATGTAACAGATTAAAAAGAGAATATTTTCACCGGTAAACACCATGACATACTTTTCAGCATCATCCTCTGCTCTTTCCTGCTCTTCTTGCCAATGACTACTGAGTTCTTCCATGTGCACATTTATGACATCACGAATCACCTCAGGAGAGATAAGCACCCAATTTCAGATAAGATTTTTTCAAAAAATTATATAAAGCTAGAAAAATCACTGTTAACAATCATCCAAATATTTGGATCACAGAATGGACTGTGGGACATGAGCAGTTTGGAGAACATAAAAAAGTCAATGGTCAAACTGGAATATGAATGGTAGATGAAAGTACAATAATTATTGATAAACTTGTTGGTCAATCCCTATATTGTGATTATGGTAGGAAAACTATCCCTATTCTTAAGATATACTTAGTATTTAGCAACAAAAAATCATGGGGTATGTAACTTACTCTCAAATAGTTTAGAAAAAAATGAGATCAAAAGAGAAAAATGTACAGATAGAGAGCACAAATGACAAGCAAATGGGACAAAATGTTAACAACAGGTGATCTGGGTAAAGGATTTTCAATTCTTTGTACTATTTTTAGTTTTGCAACTTATTTGTATATTTGAGATTATTTACAAATAAAATTTTTTTTAATTTTATAATTAAGTCAAGATGACAAAATATGAAACATTCTAGTCACTTCACAGATACTTTTCTAAGAGACTATATAAATCCCTTACATCTAAGAGCCACTTGGAAGTTTTTTCTTTCCAATTTATCCATGCAGTCGAGCATAGGGCTGTTCAACTGGGAGGCACAGATGAAACTAAAATAGCTTACACTTCCCTCATGCCTAATTAGGAAATGTTTTTTTTTTTTTTTTAAGATTTTATTTATTTATTTGTCAGAGAGAGAGACAGAACACAAGCAGGGGGAGAAGCAGGCAGAGGGAGAAGCAGGCTCCCTGCTGAGCAAGGAGCCCGATGTGGGACTCGATCCCAGGACCCTGGGATCATGACCTGAGCCGAAGGCAGCCGCTTAACCAACTGAGCCACCCAGGCGTCCCTAATTAGGAAATGTTTTAAGAAGGTACAGGGGATAACTGAATTTAAATTAAAAAAAAAAAAAGGGTTCCTGGGTGGCTCAGTCAGTTAAGCGTCTGCCTTCAGCTCAGGTCATGATCCCAGGGTCCTGGGATCGAGTCCTCCATCAGGGTCTCTGCTCAGTGGCAAGTCTGCTTCTCCCTCTACCCACTCCCAACACCCCCGCTCGTGATCTCTCTCAGATAGATAGATAGATAGACAGACAGACAGACAAATAGTTAGTAGGTACAGGGGACAAGGGACAATCTCAAAGACACACACTACATAGTTCAGGACTGAGTTTCTCCCCACTTTAAGGAAACTTTCAAAGGCTCCCAAAGTAAAATGGAACAATGTCCAAAATCCTTAATAGAGCCTTTGAAACCTTTCATGATTTTACTACATCATGTAATTGAAACCAGCCTTATCTCTTACTGGATAGTTCAAAAACCCTAAGCTCTAGGCACCTTGGATTACTGATGGGTCTCTGGAAAACTCCTGCACTTTTATATATTTATATTAGGAATGCTAGCCCTTCGACCTGGAATATCCTTATCCACCATTTCCCCTCCTCTACCATATTCTCTTGTGAAAATCTAAGACATGTGACATGAGTCACACACACACCTAAATTCCCACTCTCAGCTCTAGCACTTCCAGAGTAGCCCAACATGACTCCAGACTAGTAGTAGCTCTACATGAGCTCCACGAGGCCCGAATGTTACTGGATAGTTTCCAGGTTCACCACATAGGAAAGGGCCTATGAACAGACATTCTTTACCGTTCCTGCTTCTCCCTTTCCTTCGAATGCTATCTTCTCTATAAAGCCTATACCAATCTTATCTTTTAAAAAGAATCACTCCTTTCTCCCACATATTTTGATCTCACTTTATTTTAGCACTTAACACAATCTGTATTTTGAAAGATGTTTCACTTGTTAAACTATACTAAGCTCCTCGTGGGTGGGGGCTGTGTGCCATTTATCCTTACCTACCCAATAGCAGTGTTATGCATAGTAAGTATAGAAGGTAATAAATTTTTTTCTAAAATTTGACAAAGTTTAGGTTCTAGTCCAAAGCAAACAAAAATTATAGAGGATATGAATGAAGCTAGAAAGAGATAAGATATTGAAAAAGCCATGACCACAAATATGATAAATCACTGAAAGATTTGTAAACACTGAAGTTTTTACAGATGAAAGGTATTTCGCATCTGCTTCCAAAATTATCAGTGTGGAGGAAGGAGAAAGTAGGAGGTAGTGTAAGTATAAATAAAATGACAAAGCCATATGTTGATAATTGTTGAGGCTGAGTGACAGGGACAAAAGGGTTCATTAGACTATTCCATTCACTTTAGTCTATGTTTGAATATTTCCATAATAAAAACTTAACCATAAAATTGTGAAGAACACTAGCAGCAACACTTACACTTGATTACAAGGAATGAAACTAGAGAAGAAACTACTGATGAACCATCAAGTATTTGAGGGACTGTAAGAATACTTAGGTAGTTATGACATGGTCCCAGACCTCTACTGCAAGAGTTAAGTCTAGAACATATACTTTAATTGTAAAAAGAACAGCATAAGATTTAAGTACTAAGCTATGTGGTACAGAGAACATAAAAGCAATCAACCAGTGAATGGCTGGGTCAACTAGCCCCTCATGGAGACAGTGGGCCTTAAACTTATCAAGATTTAAAAGAGACACGACAAAGAGCATTTTCAGGTGAGCAAACAACATGTCATTTGGATACAAAGACAAGAGTAAATGTGTGTAATCAGATATAGTTTAAGAGACATACTTGACTAAACCAAAAGAAACTATCTGATAAAATGAAGCCAGATTATGGACAGTCTTAGAAAACATAGAGAGAAGTAAGAAAATAATGTGGTAAGAATTTAGAGATTCAATGAGGAAATTACATGTAGAGTCTGGGCAAGGTAATTCATGTACCAAAAAATTCATCAGCTCTATCCACTAAAGGAAGTCTGAAAATAAGTCTAGATATAGATCAAGAGATTAATATATAAATAATTTGTGCCAGATATTTTTTAAGCCCAAATATTTAACAGAGTGCATAAAAGCATGCTAAAACTTCTGTAAGGAAAAGACAAAGGCTATCTGTTGACCAATTTCTGTGTCCACATGCATTCTCAATCAATTCTTACAACAACCCTACAAAGTCTACATAAAATGTATAAAATGAGAAATGTTGATACTTAAAATGCTCAAATAAGTTGTTCAAGTCAAACAGCCAATGATAAACAGCAGGATCAAAACTCTAACACAGGTCTAAGGCCAAAATCTATGCTTTTATCATGATGTAATGCTACTTTCTCAAAAGCAGGTATTTTTTTAAGATTGTACAGCCTCTTTACATAAGATTTTTGTACCCTGAAAAGCCTTTGCCTGGCACAGTGGATCTGAAAGGAATGGAGCAAATACAAATCAGGTGTGGCCGCCTTGAAGATACCTTCTTTTAGATAACCTCTAAGGAACTGTGGAAATCCATACAGCAGACTTAGAAAACTTCTAAGGGAAATTTCTGTTCTCAACTAAGCTCTAAAAGATTATATAAAACTTACCTCAGTATACGATTTCTTGGTTATGTGAACATTCTTAGCTCTATAGGACTGGCGTCTTCTTTTATAATCTCTCACTTCTGCCAGGATTTCAAGGTAAGATTTTGGACTTTTTCGACTATTATCTAATAAAAGAATAAAATAAAATTATTATATCCTTGGAAGCTTTTAAATTCTTATGAATTAGCAGGAAGAAAGACCACAATCGTCCCGTATTTCAACACGTTTTCCTGCATCTAAAAACATCCTAAAAATTCTATATTATAGAAAAAGGCTGTTTAATATCATTCCTTTTCTCTAACCGTTAGTTGAACCTAAGATTGTTAAGTACAAAGATTAAAGGACCAGCACAGCTGTAACAATCTTACAGAAGGAAGGTACGCTTAATGTAAGTCAGAGAGCAAAATTTCATGCACGGAGTAAATATCTTAACATGTATGTGAATATCAGATAATGCAAAACCATCCTATTCCAATTCAAAGTGGTCTGACAACTAAATCTTAGTAACACACAAAGAATGAAATGACAATTAAGAAATATAAAATTATGACATTCGTCTCAAACCTTGATTGACTTTGGCAGCCAAGTCTACAAAGAGATCACTGTCATTTTCAATAATCTGTGAATCAGAGCGCTTTTTCTTTGTCTCCTCCATTACAAAATCATAGAGGGCAAGACGATCAGCTTGGGTTAAATCACAAACACACCGTTTGTGATTCAGAGGAACTTCAACAGGTAATGAAGAATAAATCCCTAAAGTAAAAATAAAACCACAAGAATAAAAAATACATGAAGCATTGTGGACTTAAAATCTCCTTATCTTTAAACATGCGCTGTAATAATGCAACATTAACACAGTTGTTTTCATAGTAATCCCTTAATATACAAAATATCCATGTGATAAATGGTAAACAGTGATTTTATCCTCAATGCTATATCCACAGAAAGGATGTATTGTGGATGTTTACTATTTTCTCCAACAATGTTAGGACAGATCCCATGAAGGCAGGCAGTAATAACCATGAGATAATTTGCTCATAAGAAAACATTCTGGGTAACAATTTTTGAAAGGCTACCAATATTATAGAAGTAGATTATTAACTTTCTTTCTGTTTATATGCTTTTCCCCATAAAAGCTGGGGGAAAATCGCTTTCAAGAGGTAATACACATTGTAGTCCCTCTGAAAATAAATTATGGAAATATGAAAAATGGGTAAAAAATGTCTTTTTTATATGAGACATCAAGTTAGGTGTTCATTATTCAAAATATACCCCACTTGTACAATGACTCAGAGCTAGGGACCAAAACACAATTACTTAAGTAGCAGAAACCCCAAACTTTCCCAGACCAGAGAGAGATTAAACTGAGACTAAATTTTTAATTTTCTGAAGAAGCATTTTGGCATAACCGAATTAATTTTAAAAGTTAACAGGAGTGCCCCCCCAAAAGTCACAGAACTTTCTAAAATCTGCTCATTAATGAAAGAAAGTAAATACAATACCTTGATATGATGTTTATTAAACACTGAAGAAAATTTTTGTTTTGAGATTCAAATTTTCTCAAAGAAATAAAAAAATTATTGTAACTGTAAATAAAGCAATTGTTTTAAAACAATTCTTTCTAACCTTCATTATTCACTGATGCAAACAATGAACAGGAGCCACTAATGTTTCCTAGGTTACCCTAAAATAATAACTCTGGTTCACAGAACAAGATAAGATCAGTAGCTCTTCCCAGATACTTTTATTTGATAAATCTAACCTCACTGGCTTCCTAGGTAAAGAGGCAAAAGAAAAATTAAAATAAGAGCAAACTATGAACTAAGCACTACAACACAAAAAAAAGAGGTGAATTTACATTTGTCTACAAATTAAGAGGAGTGCCACATTGAATATGAGTTCATGAATAGCCATGGATAACAATACATGGTCATTTGTATTAGTCGAAGGATTCTGAATTAGTGGAGAAGGGCTTCCTTTCAAGTCAATCAATTTCACTCTAATTCTAGTAGACAGTAGGAAAAGCCTTTTTATGCAGGCAGGTATTAAAACATTTAACTTGGTACTATAAAAATGAGTTAGCTTTGACAAGCCTAATTCCTTTGAATATAGGCTATAAAAAGCTGGGAGAAAAATACAAAGATTAGAAAACACTGATACATTATAAACAAGCTCCACATAAACCTTTGCCTGTTACTTTTAGACAAAGAAATATAATTTCCTCCTTAAAATATTCTGGAGTTGTCTTTATTCATCTTAAATTTCTGTATGGTCAAGATTGATACTTAAATTCCTTGAAATTCAACTAAAATTCCAAAGACTATAATATTGTGACAGTGGTTAAGATGAAGTTTAGAAATTTGAGTGATACTTTTAAAAGGATATCATTTGCAAAAAGGATACTGCATATCTTTAAATAAGGAGTATATTCAGGTTCCTAATTCCTCTTTATACTCACCCCAATTACTGAAAAAGAAAAAGTACAGGAAAAGTTAAACAACAAACTGCATTCAAATCATTGAGAACATAGATATTTCCGACAAAAAAAAAAAAAAAGGATAAACACAAATAAGCTGACATTTCCATAAAAAGTAAATTTTCAAACATAAGCTTCTATATGATTTAAAAGTATATCTGAATGTGCTGTAATCATATTAAATTCTGTGATCCTCTACTTTTTTTGTAGTAGCTTTTTTAAAACTGTGGTAAAATATACATTACATAAAATGTACCATTTAACCATTTTTAAGTGTACAGCTCAGTGGCATTAAGTACATTACAGTGTTTTGCAACCATCACCTCTTTCCATCTCCAGAACTTTTTCATCACCCAAACTGAAACTCTAATCTAGCTTTTTAGTAACTCTGATCCTTTCTTTTTAGTCACCTTTGCCACGACAGAGCATCTTAAACATATGACATATAATATTAAATATTCATAAAAAGTACTGGTTCAAAGCTACAAATTCAGAATTTTACAGAGAATTCATACAGAGTCAATTTCCAAACATCATAGAAAAAGAAGTTAAGGCCCATGGAGGTAAAAATGACTTGCCCAAGTCTCACAAGTGGTAAGAACAGATTAGGCCTAGAACCATTCTACTTGGGTCTCTTGAGGGTTCTTTAGTATAATGCACTGATCTTCAAATCATGGCCATGATTCAAATATATGTCATGAAACTGAAGTACAGCAAATAATACTGAAGGAAAAAGATAAACCGCTAAACATAAAATGACTGTTTATGATTAAAATTAGCATCTTGGTTATATTAACCAAGGTAATTATATCTGAAAATAAGTAAGTAGATCTAATGGTTGTTTCAAGCTTTCACAAAGGTTAATGAATTGAGAATTCTATACACTGAGTGGAGACCTGGTATGAGTGATGAAATGGAAACATAAATATAACTCATCAAAAACTTATAATTTAGTACATGACAAACAAAATATTAATTAAATGGAAAATGTAAAATTGCTCATGTTAGTCATTCTTCCTTCAAAGTAAATAAATCAGTAAGATAGTAAAAGAGATTCTTGTTCTGGGCTATAAGATCTTAAAATGTCTAGACAAAAGTGGGCCACAAAAATAAGGTCCATTGAGAAACTGTAGAACTCTATACAAGATGAAAAAAAGTTTTAAAAAGAGGGTCACAGATCATATAACAAAATTCTCAAGGTAAATCTTAGTTTAAGAGAGTGCCAAAACAAAATAAAAGTTCCTCTTAACTTTCTACTGAAGGAACTATTTATTCAAAGTAATTCTTTGCTTTTGTAAAGAACTAAACTCAAGGTCCAAATCTACCTTATTACTTAGCCATATAAATAAAAAAAACCTTGAGAACATTCTCTAAATTACATATATAAAATTCTCACCCATTTCATTATCTTTATATCGCTTTCTATACATTAACGTGCTTAGAAATTAAATTGCTTAGACATAAGCAGCCAATTATTAGAGCCCGGGCTAGTTTAGCATTAATTATCTCCGTTACCCCAAACAACAATACAAGACAGTTTTATACTACAGACAAGGAAACAAAACCCCTCAAAAAAACTGTCATTTGTACCAGGCCAAGCAACTAGTTTCTTTCTTTAAAGGAGGCTTACACAAACCAGAACAAAGAACAGTACTAATAATAGCAAGCAGTGAGTAGGTACAAATTTGAAGTTTGTGGTATTCTTCGACTTAATTATAAGAGATAATAATGAATATATTTGATCAGTGATTCCTAGTCCATAAATTCCACTGAAATGTAGTTTCTATCAGAAAACAGAATAACTCAGTTCAGAGTATATACCAAATCCAAAATTTGGTTCTCAATCCACTGTGGCTATTACTAAGCCCCTAGCAAAGAAGTGTGAATCAATTTTTGTGTGCCTCTATTTCTTCACCTAATATGGAAGGGAAAATAGTTGTCCAGCCTATGTCAATGCTTTATGAAAGAGAAATGAATACATAAAAGAGCTATGAAGAAAGAATCTCTGCTGTATTTGAGCAGAAAATATCTACCAAATGAAGCTGACACCAAACACATTGGTCTAGTGTTAAATATAAAATGTAACTTTTCCCATGCAACTGTTTCCACAAGATTTTTCTTAAAAATTAGTAACAAATGCTTATGGGACAAAAATAGTTTAAATCATTAATTAGCTCAAACTATGATGCCACTTACTTTGACTATAACAATCACCATCTTTTCCAACTGCAGTTCTAGCCTGTTTAATTATCTGGAATTGTGAGTCCTTATCTGTCAAAAAAAAGCACCCATAAATACAATATGAATCATCAGTGTCCACAATCAAATTATTAACTTGTTTCCAATCCAAGCTCTTTGGGCACACTGACAAACCTCCAGAATCTGAAAAGTGGAAAAAACCTACACTGCTGCCTAGGTAATCTGAATGCAGAATTCTTTCAGATCTAGCTAGAGCCCAGTGAGTAACTAGATTTCAGGTAGTTTAGAAAACATTATCATCAGGCATGCTGCAGTAGCTGCTGCAAATTTTAGCAACTAATAACAGCTACCATGTTTTGAATCCAGCTAAGTGTCAGGACTATTCTAAGCATTTTACATATACTATATCATTTAATCCTCACAAAGGTGCTATTATCATCATCCCCCATTTTACGAAGAAATTTAAGCAACAAAAAGGTATAACTACTTGCTAAAAGTCACAAATCTACTAGTGACAAAACCAGGAGTTGAATCAGGGCATTGATTCCAGAGCCTGGAATTTTAACCTCCACATATGCTGTGAACACTTGGAACACATTTCCATCCTCAGTTTGTAAACTGTGTTGTATGGCCAGATTTTTGTTATATTCAAGAAAGAAGGTATCTGTCTTACTGTACAAAGCTTTGGAGGTTTTCACTGCCTATTAATGTAAGCCTGGTCTCTAAATTCCAGATTAAGCAAACTAGTTTCACTGTACATTAATTAATCCTACATTCTCTTAAGGTACGAAATGTCTTTCTTAATCACAAGCACACTTATAAAGTCCATTCTTTTGATAATTCAAAAATGAAATATCAATGCCTATACTATTTTTAAATTATAATCTATTAATACTTACTTAGAGTAATTGAAGGTATCTTCACATTCTCATAGAAAAAATCAGAATTATACATTTGATCCTAAACAGTAAAAACAAAAAAGTTAGTATTCGTGAGTAACCAATAATTGACTATTTTAAGATTTGACATGAACCAACAAAAGATTACTATCACTTAAATATTTCTTACAAAAATTTGCGCAATTAGGCAAATACCATTCTACCTCACAAATGACTAGTATTTTATGTCAGAAAACTTTACACTATACCTTCTAAATATTCTGAATTTATTCACGCATGAATTACATGACATATACATCATAAATATATGGTACCTCTTCTTCTTTGGTATAGCCCAATTTCCTCAATCTGCAAGACACCATGTGCTTTGCTAAAGATGATTTAGGCATGTGATGATTGGAATCATAGGGACATATCACAACTTCATCCTATAAAAAAGAAAGAGAAGCAAAGAAAAAAGAAACATTTGTTTTTTAAAAGATTTATTTATGTGAGAGAGAGAAAGACAGCACATGTGCAGGGCAGAGGGAGAGAATCTCAAGCGAACTCCCTGCTGAGCACTGAACCCAGGTGGGGCTGGCCCCCAAGACCCATGAGATCCTGAGCTGAAGCAAAACCAAGAGTCAGACACTTAACCAACTGAGCCACCCAGGCACCCCACGGGAACATAATATTCAAATGATTTTACCATTAAATGTTTACTACTTGATTAAGTAGTACTATCCATTTATCTCCTTTCTGGAGGCCTCTTTCCCAACCCCGTGTGATGTACGTGCAAATTAAAACAAAAAAAACCAAAAAACTTCCCTCAATCTCTCTCTCCTTTATAGTCCCCTCTCCACCGCTTCAAAGCCCAACACTTTAAAAGATTTGTTTACAAACTACCAGTCAGTAGGTCACTAACAATCTTCTTGCTAAAGAAAATGTGTCAGGGGCGCCTGGGTGGCTCAGTCGTTAAGCGTCTGCCTTCGGCTCAGGTCATGATCCCAGGGTCCTGGGATCGAGCCCCACATCGGGCTCCCTGCTCGGCAGGAAGCCTGCTTCTCGCTCTCCCACTCCCCCTGCTTGTGTTCCTGCTCTCGCTATCTCTCTCTCTGTCAAATAAATAAATAAAATCTTTAAAAAAAAAAAAAAAGAAAATGTGTCAAAACACATGTCAGACTCTTTAAAACATTTGAACTCTTCAAAGGTCACAATCCAATTGTCCATTTCTGTCATCCGGATACAGTCTTCATGTTCTACCTCTCTAGTTCTTCTACTTGGTCTTCTCTCAAGATGTCTTCCTTGTTCTACCTGTACCCCTTTAAATGTTGATGCTTCACATAAGTCAAACCAGTGACCTTTTGCCATTTGATATACACTGACTGGAAAATCTCATGGCTTTAATTTTCACTATAGAGAAAAGGCTCCCCAAATTTATATCTTTAGACCTTGTTCTCTTTTGAGTACCTTATACAAAAAAAACCCTAACAATTCAATATAACAAAAATAAATTCATTATATTCATGGTCACCTGACCCCAAACATGTTCCTCTTATGTCTCCCAGTTTCAATAAAAGGTCCCATTTCCTCACACAGAAAATCACCTCTTCTTCCTCGTCATTGACATCTAATCAATTACCCAGTCCTTTTTACTCCTAAGTAACTCTGAAATCCCTCCACATAATCCATCCTCACTGTTACTTCCCCACTTCGGGACATCAGCATCGTTCTCCTGGATTACAACAGCCATTGCCTAACTGCTCTGCTTCCAGACCTGTTGTCCTTCCCATTCTCCACTCTGTGGCTACTCTGAATCCCAGGTCTGCCACTTACTATATGAACTTGGTCAAGGTATTTTACCTTTCTTTGCCTCAGTTTCCTTATCTATAAAATGGGTATAATAGGACTTTTCTCACAGAGCTATTGTGAAGATTAAATAAATTATACATGAGTTTATACACATAAAGCAATTCAAACAGAGCCTGGTACATAGCAAGTGTTCAAATGTAATCAATTATTAGTTTATTTTTTTTTAAAGATTTATTTATTTATTTATTTGAAAGAGAGAGAATGAGAGAGAGCACATGAGAGGGGGGAGGGTCAGAGGGAGAAGCAGACCCCCGCTGAGCAGGAAGCCCAATGCGGGACTCGATCCCGGGACTCCAGGATCATGACCTGAGCCGAAGGCAGTCGCTTAACCAACTGAGCCACCCAGGCGCCCCCAATTATTAGTTTATTAAAAGGCAAATAGGATGATATAGTCTGGCTTAAAGTACTTCCATGCTTCCCCATTGCCCTCATTTAAAAACAACAACAAAAAAATCCAGATTCTTTAATACGGCTGACACAAGGACCTTTAAGATCTGGATCCTTCCCACCATCAGTCCCCTTCTTCTCTACAGCCTATGCTTGGCTATCTATCCTTAACCACCTTAGGTTTCCTGATCTGGTCACACCCTTTTGTATGGACTTCCCCTACCGCTGATGCTTCACCTAGCTAATTCAGCCACTGTTACCAGCTTAGAATTCACTTTATCCAGGAAACCTCTACTGTCCTACCAGAGCCTATAATAAACAGCTATTCCACCCTTCACAGACTTTATCACACTATAATGTAGGCTGATTTCTCTGGATTTCCCCTCAACTACAACCAGACGGCAAGCTCTGTGTTAGAACCTGTGACTGCTGTTCACTAAACTTCAGTATTAAAACACTCTAGCAGAAAAGCGAGGCTTCGTTAACTATGTGGACTGCACCTATTCCAGGAATGATGGATGTCACGTACCGGGATTTTGAAACTAGTCACTCTCTTGAATATCAGACGTTGGTTCTGTAACATTTTGATGTACACTCACAGCTATTTGTCATAATTTTGGAATTTTACAAAGAAGTTTTAGAGAGGCAGCGTAGCAATTAAACACAGAGATTCTCAGGAGCCAGAATGCCCAGGTTCAAAATCCCAATTGCTATTTATGAGCAGTGTGTCCTTGGGCAAATTACCACCTCTCTGGGTTTGTCCTCTCATTTATAAAATGTGGCTAACAGTACTCATTCGGTACTTGTAAGTATTAAACGAGGTAACTAAGGTATAGTCAGTGGCATAAGCAAAGTGCCATTTAAGTGTTAATACGAGAAATTTCAGGTTATTACGATGCTGAGTAAACAGTGTTAAGGGCATGGTAGGCCCCACTCAATAGAATTCACAGCTTCAAACACCGTTCTAAACAAATTTTAAAATTTCCACGACGCCTTTAACACAATAAATGTGAATTGTTTGTGTATAAATCAAATATGCCTTAGGTGTCTTCAGGGAATCAGGCATGTAATCTAAACCTGGGAGAAATTATTACTGCGTGATGAACCCAGAAAGAGCATTAGAGATCATGAATTATCCCACACTGAAGCGCTTCTCTTCCCCATCCCCCCAAATGAACAAACCAAAAAAATCAGGATTGTTCATTCTAATACACCTACCTACATTTTTTTTTTTTAAGATTTTGTTTATTTGACAGAGAAAGACAGCTAGAGAGGGAACTCAAGCAGGGGGAGTGGGAGAGGGAGAAGCAGGCTTCCCACTGAGCAAGGAGCCTGATGCGGGGCTCGATCCCAGGACCCTGGGATCATGACCTGAGCCGAAGGCAGATGCTTAACGACTGAGCCACCCAGGCGCCCCTAAAAGTTAAATTTCAAGTAACGTGGAAGAATGGTCATTTCCACTCTGGGTGCAAATTAAATTCTTTTTTTTTTTTTTTTTTAAAGATTTTATTTATTTATTTGACAGAGAGAGAGGCAGTGAGAGAGGGAACTCAAGCAGGGGGAGTGGGAGAGGGAGAAGCGGGCCTCCCGCTGAGCAGGGAGCCTGATGCGGGGCTCGATCCCAGGACCCTGGGATCATGACCTGAGCCGAAGGCAGATGCTTAACAACTGAGCCACCCAGGCGCCCCTACCTACATTTTTTTTAAAGCAATTCTAATGTTCAAAAGAGTTGTTAGTCACCATCTCTCAGTGATACCCTCTAATAATCCTAGAATCAATGCTGTCCCCGTCAGAAGTGTAGAATTTTAAGGCGGAAAAAGGAGAACTGAACTCCCAAGCTCTCTTGACGCCGAATCTGGTGCAACTGCTGTATCCATGTGACAGATGACAAAGCAAACGGGCAACACGTCTGCTAGCAGCACTCTGAGGCCGATTCACCTATTTTCTAATAAACCCCAGACCTGCCACCCCTCCTCACCCACCGCAGTTTTACCTTCTCCCCGAACCGAAGTTCCGCGGAAGGAGCGGCGGGCGCCGAGCGCTCCGAAGGCCCCCCGCGCGCCCCACCCGAGGCCCGCAGGCGTCAAGGGCGCCCCAGGCCGGGTCCCCGGCGCCCACCACGGCTCTGCAGACGGGCGGGGGCTCCCACGCGGATTCCTCCCCCGCCACAGAAGACCGCAGGCTGAGGGCCCCCAAAAGGACCCGGCGCGCAAGCCCCCATTCACCTCTGCCGCCTCCTCCCCGGGGTCCAGCCGATCCAGGCTCCAGCCCAGGGACGCCGTCACCTCCTCCAGCGTCCGGCAGCAGCTCTCCACGAACCCGCTAAGCTCCTGCTGCAGCCGCCGCCGTTCCTCCACCGGGGGCGGCTCGCCCTCCATGGCCGCGCCCGACCCGCCAGAAAAGAGCAGCCGAACTGGCGGCGCCGCGCGCGGGCCTCTGGGAGCTGTGGGCGGGACCAGGCCGCCACGTGACTGGAACCGCCTATAGGGAAAGGCCCGGGAAGGGCGGGAGCCGTCATTTTGAGAGGTGTTCCGGGTGTCTTCCAGGAGTCGCTGCTGGCGCAACTGCTCCCCGGTGCGTTTGCGCCTGGGCTTCCCTGAACTGCATTCCCTCCCGCCCCCACAACTTTTTAAAGAAATGGTTTATGTCGCCCTTTCGTCAGCTGCCGCTAAGATGCTCGGTCCTTCCGATGAAGCTAGGCCACGTTGGGATGAGGTGTGCAAACGGGGGCTGGCACCGGCTTCCGGCAGCTCCCGCAGGGCACTTGCCGGCACCGTGGCCTCCGCCTCGGAGCTCGCCTGCATCTCCTCGGCCCTCATGCTGCACGACGATGTGCTGGCGGTCACGGAGGAGAAGATCAATGACCTCATTAAATGTTGAACCTTTCTGGCCAGGCTTGTTTGGAAAGGCCCCGGCCAGTGTTAGCATTGGGAGCCTCATCTCAACGTAGGGGCTGGTGGACCTGCCCCAGCGGCTCGCGCTGCACCAGCCAAGGTCCTGCCCGGTCCACCACTGCCGCCGCTGCTGAGAAGAACGTGAAAGCAAAGAAAGAAGAATCCGAGGAGTCTGATGGTGACGTGGGCTTCGGTCTTTTTGACTAAACGCCTTTAAACACGTCCATTAAGAAGCTGAACTGTTTTTAAAAAGTGGTTTATGTCTACAGAAGAGTTTAAAGAGTAGCACAACAAGCATTTGCATAACCATCCTCCAGCTCATTAGTTGTTAACATTTGCCCATGTTTGCTTTCTCTCACTCTCTCCACACACACACATACACACAGAGCCCCACATACTTATTTTTGCAGAATTATTTGAAAGTCAGTTGCAGCTGCTTAAACCCCCAAATATGCCTGTATGCATCTCCTAAGAATAAGAACATTGTCCTATGTAACTACCATACATGGTCAAATCTAAGAGAATTCATAATTTCATAATATCTTCCAATGTTCAGTTTATATTCAAATTTCCCCAGTTGTCCCCCAAATTCCTTTCATAGCCATTTCATTAGTTTTTTTCAAACCATGAGCTGTAATCGGCTATCGTCTCTTTTAACCTGGAACGTCTCCCCACCGTCTTCAAATTAAGTCACTGAATTTTGTTGGGAGCTGCAGCCAGTTGTCTTGTAGAATGTTCCTCTTTCTAGATTTATCAGATTTTCCCCTTATGATTAGGTTTTGTTCAATCATTTTTGCAAGGAGATGTGTGTGACTCTTCATTACATCTCATACAGAACACATATCTTAAATTCTCCTTCTATTAGTAATGCTAAATTTGATCATTTGGTAAAGGTAGATGGTTATATCACTCCGCTGTATGACATTTCCCTCTGTGGGATGATACTTTGAGACCATATGAATGTCCTGTTCCCCAAAAAACTCACACAATCCTTCAGTGAACCTGTCATTATGTTAGGAGTTATAAATGATGATTCTCTAATACTGTCATGGCTTCTATATTTGTTAACTGGCCTTCTTAGCACACCTTCATTTTGTTGTTCACTATGGAATCAAGGGATTTTAAAAATTATTACCGATACAAGGTTTTAAAGCTAATTATTACAGAGCACCTGGGTGGCCCAGTCAGTTAAGCATCTGCCTTTGGCTCAGGTCATGATCCTGGGGTCCTGGGATCCAGTCCTGCATCGGGCTCTCTGCTCAGCGGGGAGTTTGCTTCTCCCTCTGCCCCTCCTCCCTGCTCATGCACTCTCTCTCAAATAAATAAATAAAAACCTTAAAAAAATAAATTCATTATTACGTACTCCATTACCATCATAATTCTCCTTGATGCTCCAATTGTCCCAAATTTGACCAGTGGAAGCCACTTAAACCACTTTGTGTCTCTATAACGTGTCCCATTAGTCCTTGAGTACTTCCTCTTCCTTGATTAACCCAGGCTTACTTTGTACATTTTCCTATCCAAGACCTGGAATCAGCCCTTTTAATTTCCCCAAGTGGTTTTAACTCCCAGAACCCAACCCCTCTTATATTATTTATTTTTACTTTTTTCAAGCCTGATGCCAAATCTTTGCTTCCTTTTGTGCTTGTTTCTATCAGATGAAACTGTGGATGGAATTTTTGTGAATAGCTATTTCCATGGGCAGATAGTACAATTCTCTCTCACACACACACACACACACAAAAGGTGATGAGTATAAATAAGCACAAAAATAGTACCCCCAAAATACAGAAATAGGCCAATAGCTGCAAGCAGCTGTGGGGTAAGGGATGAGTTCTGGTTTAGTTATACTCTGCCCACAACATCCCTACTTTTTATCTGCATTTACATGGTTAACCCAGCAGCAGTCTAGAAAATCAAAACTAGCCAAGGTCAAGGATGTCCTCTCTCCAGAACACAGCCTATCCCACCTCAGAGCTTAATGACAACTTTGGCAACAGCCTGAAGGTATACTCTTTCAACCTGAAGAACTGCTTTACATTGATGCTTACTAATCTATTTTTTATTTTTTAAAAGATTTGATTTATTTATTTGACAGAGAAAGAGAGAGTGCACAAGCAGGGGGAGTGGGAGAGGGATAAGCAGGCTCCCTGCTGAGCAAGGAGCCCGATGTGGGGCTCAATCCCTGGACCCCGGGATCATGACCTGAGCTGAAGGCAGATGCTTAACCGACTGAGCCACCCAGGTGCCCCTTATTAATCCGTTTAATCACCATTCTTTCAGAGAGAACTTCTGACGCATTCTAGATTAGGCCCCTATTATAGGCTGAATTGTGTGTCATCCCCACCCCTAACCCCCAATGTGACTATATTTAGAGATAAGGACTATAAGGAGGTAAATAAAGTTAAATGAGGTTATAAAGATGGGGCTCTAACGTGACAAAATTAAAGTCCTTCTAAGACAAGGAAGACATACCAGAGCTCCTTCCCTACCCTTTACTGCCTACCATCCAGAAAGAGAGCTTTTACCAGCAGCCAACCTAAGAACACTTTTACCTTGGACTTCTAGCCTCCGCAACTATGAGAAAATGAATTTAAGTCACATAGTCTGTGGCATCTTGTTATGGCAGCCCAAGCTGACTAAAACAGTCTCCTAGCTCCAGCATGAAGATCTTCCTTCATTTTGCCCAACACAGCATTTACCACATATTTTTCTCTTCCTTTTCTATTACAAGGGCTATTTTTGTACATGTGTTTCTACCATGGGATTCATAGCTTCTGGAACAATGCGTAGCACACAGAACTCAATACTTAGTGAATGAAGTTAATTACAAGTCCTCCAGCTTGGGAGGGGAGCAAGGAGAAGAAAAGGAGGTAAGACAAGGAAGAAATGAATGCTATTTTCACCCAAAGTCCCAAACGGCCCCAACAATTTAAGTATTATCTTACATATGATCTTTTTTTGTTCTTCACAATTAGCATCTCATTTGTTTGCCTATCTTCTAATCTATGCTATAAAATGTTTGAGTATATTAATAGATATTGCTGACATATGAAAATTGTCCCTCTGATTGCTTTATATGTATCTCTTGTCCCCACCCAGGCTGCAAATGTCTTGAAGTGAGGGGGCTTGTAAATTCTGTTGAATCCTCATAATACCTAGCCTAATACTAGACATAGTAAGTATTCAGTAAGGTCATGTTGATTTAATGACAAATGTCTGAATTTCAAAAGTTTCTCTTTGATACAAAGAATAGGCTTAGGGGCGCCTGGGTGGCTCAGTTGGTTAAGTGACTGCCTTCGGCTCAGGTCATGATCCTGGAGTCCCGGGATCGAGTCCCGCATCGGGCTCCCTGCTCGGCGGGGAGCCTGCTTCTCCCTCTGACCCTCCCCCCCTCTCATGTGCTCTCTCTCTCATTCTGTCTCAAATAAATAAATAAAATCTTAAAAAAAAAAGAATAGGCTTAGATCTCATTGTCCTTCAACAGAGAGCCAAGAATTCTTCAGGACTCGTTTTTATAGGTTCAAGGACAATTCTTTCCTCTTAGGGGACAAAATGAAACCCCACGTATTTGGAGACTACCCGAATGGAATCTGACCCACTTCCCATTTTTCTAATGGTATTGTGGTGACTTTTGCCCATGCTCCTTAGAACGTATTGTCCAGAATAAACAAGAACTGGGTATTGACCTGTGGCCTGGACACAGGCTTCTTTCCAAGGACTGCATACAATAGGCACTTGAGAAATGTTGGAGAAACTACAAAAGACCAACGTCTAGCAAGAATTCGGGAATAAACTGTTTTTTTTTTAATAGTCTTAATAGGTACTTAGTAAACAGGAGGTTTTAGACATATCGTACAATTAACGGAAAGATGCTGATAACTACCTTGTGTGTATAAACATATGAAATCAAAACGCAAAAGCTTCAAAAGTCGAAAAGTTTATTGCCAGAATAGCAAACTTCATAAAGACACCTTTTTAAAGTACATAGTAAATGACAAGCAAAATAAACAGAAAGCTTTGAGCAAAGAGAAGCAAAGATTGCTGCTATCACTCACATATAGTCAAATTAATGCCAAACCAAACAGGTGCATGTAAGAGTATATAGGTTACATAATCCACAATCTAAAACTAAAGGAGACTCGTTCCAAAATGTTTGGGTTTGGGGTGGACTATTCTAGGGAGAATGGGAGAGAGAATTTTCTCCTAATACAGAAAATGGAAATATTTAGATGAGAAACAGAATGATGACTAAAGTGTCCATGATCAGCTTAATTTCATCTCCAAGAACAGAAATCTGTATTATAGGCCAAAAGAAGTACACGAATCGATCAAAAATCTAAACACAGAAGGAACAGACTCTAGATTCAATTTGTGCTATCCTTACAACTGATTGTCACTTCATACACACTACATCCAGCATGTTACATACTTTGGGTGAGCTAAGAAGATAAAAAGCCAGAACAGCCTTTACTATTTGATTTCAACCAAGGTTATGTCTTCTTAATCATAGAAAGCTCTGTCACTATACTGC